AGTTGGTTCGCAGAGAGTGAACAACACACTAACAAACTGTTCTTTTGCTTTTCCATGTAAGCACAGAGATTGGCTGATGAAGATTCATCTCAGATACGCTTTTTGGAGCAGAGTTGAGCAAAATGATTCGGCACTGATGATTCGGTGCAACTTTCTTCATTTTACACCTTTACACAAGTGTATTTAAACATTTTCTTATAAAGTTGGGGCTCGCAGGCAGCTATTAGCATATCTAACGTGTTCGTGAAAATCCCCCAATAAATTCCTTAGTTGGGATTTCAATACCATTCGGTGAACAGGCTGTCCTTGCAAAATCCTCAAAATGAGCATGGCCCAAAATGAACACATACAAGATCAATATTTCTTACTCTATTCCTCCAAAGCCAGCCAGGAATCAGGTAGAACTAGCAGCATCCGACAGCAGAAAGGACTCAAAGCCTGATACTTTCAACACCAAAGAAAGGGAGGAAGGGAATAATTACATCAAGTTTCAAAGGAGCCACAGACCAAGAAAAGGTTTAAAAGACACTTTAACATGAAAGCGTTCACCTTTATTCTTAGCATTTTTTTACCCTTTTTGCCATCAACTGGCAATTCATTCCCAACTCAAATTGCTCTCTCTGTTCTCTACCTCTTTTTAGCATACATATATTGTACACATATCTGGATATTGCTTATGATAATAAGTATTTATTAATTTAATAACTTCCCTTTCTACTTCTAGTGAAGATGATCCTTAATATTGTTCTAGTATAGCTTTGGAGGGCCACAAATATCATATGTCACTTATTACTACAGAAATTATAACAAGTGCAATAGGATTAAAATAACAGATTAAAGTAGTTGAACTTTTGTTCTGGACCTTACAATTTTTCAGTTACTTCTGCCTAGCTGTCTCTTCTGTCCTTCTCTAGTCCTGGCACTTGACAAGTGCATAACTTTGTATCAGTGTCTGATGAAGAGGTGACAAACAGCCTCTGACTTTATTCTGACTTTAGCTTTGGGTAGCCTGAGAGCAAATTAAGAGGGTTAAACAAGATTTAGTAGACAGTTGAGTAAGCAACAAATCTGTGAGTGTCATTCACTCAAAATTCATGCCAGCAAACTACACCTAAACTTTTCAATGCAAATTCTTGCAAACTACACACACTCTAAAGAAAATTGTCACACAAAATAGCTATAAAATTTATACTTTCAGGAAAAAAAAATATATATAACACAAGATAGTTAAGGTAGTTATACAGCTATTTCCTCTTAGTTCATTGAAAAGAAAAGGTATCTGGGGACTGTGGATTTAGCTCAGTGGCAAAGCGCCTGCCTGGCAAGCGCAAGGTCCTGAGTTCGGTTCCCGGTACCGGAGAAAAACCAAAAAAAAAAAAAAAAAATTAAAAGAAAAAGTATCTGGACTTTATCAGTAGAATGAATGAATTGAACTAAATAATTCCCTAAGGATTGTAAATTTTCTAATATTATGAATGAGCTTTGACCTGAAATACAAATTAATGATGGGAATAAAGACTACAATGTCATGTGAAATTAACCACATAAATATTAATGTCAAATACTCCATGGGACTTAAGATGACTGTGACACAGAAATGCTGAAGTTTTATAGCACTAAAACTAATAAATATAACAATCTTCATTTTCCAAAGAAGATTTAAATAATTTATATGTACACAGTGGCATATTCAGAAGAAAAGAGAAAGTCATGGTCTTACATATGCAACATCTAACTAAAAATTTACTTCAGTGAAAATCCAAACTGATATTCACCTATCACAACAGATATGAGTAAATGTTAGGAAATTTCAGCTGTATTTCACATAACATGTGAAAATAATAATCTGAACACAAAACAATCACAATATTTTTCAGTTGTTGAAAATGAAATAAAAAAGTAAAATTGTTAAAGTCACTTCTTCATGTAAGTCAATCTCTACTTATGTGATTCAATAAATAAACTCAATGCCAGTTTCAAATCATTAAAAAAGTATAACGAACATATAATAGAAAAGTAACATTAAGTACAAAGAATAAAATGCAAACAATGGCTCTGGTTTTTGGCTAAGTAAATAGGAATTCAGCTATTCAGTCAATCAACCATTCAGTAACACTTACTATATAACTGAGTTCCAGACACTGCGCTCAGTACTAAGGCACAGAGATGCAGAGTAGGAGAAAGTATTCAGATTCACACATCTGATTAACCACTTCCATCCAGAATATATAAAGCTGCTCAAACATGAAAATGAAAAATAAAATAAGAACAATGATAACAATAATAAAAAGCCAATTTAAAAACTGAGTGAGTGAAAGACTTGAACAGACATTTCAGAGTAGACATTTGGCAAAATAAACTCATGAAAATAAGTTTAATATAACTCGTGCTAGGGCAATGCAAACTAAAATCAGGATGATACGCAATTATCTGTTTTAGAAGGGCAAAAATTAGGAAGCATGATAATGAACCCTCGCTTGGATGTGGAGGAACTGGAACTGTCATACACTGCTGATGGGAATGAAATATGGGCAACTTCAGAAGACAGGTTAAGAATCTCTTAAAGTGTTACTTTTTTCTGCCACTTGATCCAACCATTTTATTCCTGGTTATTCATCCAAGAGATGGAACAATGGGTGTTCACAGAAATACATGTACACAACTGTCCATAGCAGATTCATTCATAATAGCACAGTCTCAAAATAATCTATCAATAAATCAGCTACTGGATAAAATGATCTTTTATCCAAATGAATGACTGATACATGCTATGACATCTTCAAATAATTTTGCTGAGTGGAACAATACAGGCTAAAATAAAAAGACTATATGGTGTACAGTTTCCTTTATATAAAATTGTAGAGTATAGAAGTTAATGCTTAGTATCAGAAAACAGTTCAGTACTGAGAGGGAAGGTCTAGAGGGGTGTATTATAAAAAGGCATGAGGAATCTTTTAAAGGAAAATTCTCTTTTTCATCATCTCGATTGTGGTGATGGTTTCAAAACTTTCACTGTATATAGTTTACAGTTTATAGTATACACTGTTTATAGTATACAGTTTCACTGTATATCAATTATAACCCAGTAAATCTTATTAAAACTGGTGAGAAGGTGGTACTGACTGTTTTCTCTCACAATTTGTAAAGCTTTCACTTACTTGGCTGAATATTTCAAACTGATACTCACAAGCAAGCAGTTCCTTAATACTGCATCTACAATCTAGCCTAATTATAAATAGTTCATTTGAAATGAGTTATCCTGAGAAGTCTTACATTTTTCTTTTAAGCAAATATCTAACAAGTACCTGTTGGGCATAATGCTAGGTTACTGCTCTTGCAATATCACAGTTAATTAAAGTGCTGGTTGATACTACTGTTCTTTCTCAGTAGAATATCTTTATTCTATTAATACCCACTTTCTAGTGGAGGAAAATATCTTGTCGCTGAAATTGGACTCCACTTTTGCTATCTTGAGTAATTAATTCACACAGCATGCAGAAACTTTCATGACATCATTGCAAGTCTGAGTTTCATTTCAAATAAAAGAACCCTTGGATAGAGTCAAGCATATCAATCCATGTAACCCTGGGTGGGTTTCACACCTCAATTTTTATGCTTATACTCATGACCAAAGGGTTCCTTGGTTAGTCACATGTGTATCTGACTGTAAAAATGCTTCCCTGTAAAGTTGGTTTTCTCCTGGAAAGCAGTACTGGAGTAAATATTATAAATACTAGTTCGGTCCAAATTAAAGTTGAATTAAATAGACATTAAGGATTAATTTGATGTGGATGAGCTACTATTAAATAAAAGTCAAAAACCTCTTCAGCTTCATTTCATATCATTACATGTGTCAAATACATTCTAGCTATCATACCACATATGGTGGATTGGTTCTCATTTGTTTAGTTTATGTGTCTCTAAATAAATCTCCAACCCCAATGTGTTTTTACAGATTGAGTGACATCTGTGACTGTCAGGTTTCCAAAGTTGACCCACAGCTAAATTATTGGCTATGAAACTATTAACTAGATTTAGATAGAACTAGTGCTTTAAATTTGGGTAAATGAAAGAAGGTTAGTGTATGCAAACAAACAGAAAATTTCAACCAGAAGTAGGTAAGAAACTTCTCGCAGTACGATATGTATTTGAACAAAGAGGAAAAGAACAAATATTCAGGCCCCTTATATTGCATCCTGGATGATATGTTAAAGAGGCAATGATTGACAGTAACTCAAAAACTGTGGGTTCCTAAGCCCTAGTTTTGCTACTTACAAGTTTTTGGGACAAGTAAAACTAACAATCTCTCTGAGATTTTTTTTTCTCCATATTTTCAAAATATGAATCTTCCAAAAAGCATATCTGACTTACCCACTTCAGGGAATTGCTGAAAGATTCAAATAGAGTACATACATCTATCCTTTGCAAAATTATAAAAGCCACATATGCATTTCAATTTGCTATTGCAAGTTTGACTTTAAGAAATCAGGCAAGATTGAGAGTAAAACACATTGCATTGAAATTAAAGAGATCTGGACTTAAATTTGAGCTCTCCCTCAAAAATGCAGCATGGTTGTTGAATAAAGCATGCCTTCTGTCTGCAATTCACATGCTCATCTATAGAAAGTCAAAGTGTCAAATGAACTATTCACAATCACAGATTTCTGAGTCCAGGCAGAATCTCAGAGATTGCACCAAACTCATTTCTTCTCCCAGATTCTTTATTTCAGTAGAACAATTACTTAAAATTGAAGGGATCTGCAGCTGTTCCCAACACCATGTGTTCACCTTTAGAGATTCTAATCATACCTTATTACACATAGTCAAGGAGCAAGGCAACTCAAATAGCTTTGGTACAACCTTAATTAAATGATAAATGTGTGTCAGAGTAACTATGATCAAATTCCACTGGTTTTTCATTCAGGAATACAGTGATCTTTCACACTGCATAAACATTCTGAGCTATTTCAAATATACATTATGAAACCCATTGTCTGTACCTGAAAGGGCTGCCTGCTGGAAATGTTGAGGAGTTTTCTCATCCATCTGTTGCCTTGATCTCCAAATATCTCCCATAGAAGCTTCCCTCTTGAATTACTCCAGACCCGCTGGTAGACAGCCAGCCTGTAAATGTGCTTTCCGAACATGTGATAGTAGAGGCGGAAGATGCAGCCGCTGGAATCAGTGGCATTGAACACCGGGCTGAGCAGCACAGCACTGTTCTGGAAAACCTGGGGCTCTGAAGATTCTATGTAGAGGTAGTGCCCTTGCACCATGCCCAAAGTATGGTCTTTCATTGGCCCTGTATTAATGGTTGAAGTTGGACCCTGGATCCTGGTCCAGTCAAAGTCATCTTCTGTGTCTTGTTCCCAGTTACAAATTCCACTTTCAAAGTTACACTGGAGTTCAGGTTCTGAAATCAACATCAAATAATAGCAGAAGTTATTAAAGACAGAAAGTAAATATCATTAAGATGACTAATTGATGTTCTGCTTCTGCCAAGTTAAGCCGTTTTAATTTAATATGCAATATTACTGTTTTGGTTTTTGTTTGCATTTTGGCTTTGTTTTTGTGGTTCTGACACTTGAACCCAGAGCCTTTGTATTACTGAGCTGCTGCACCACTGCCCCTAACCCTTTTTCAGAGGGAGTATCTCATCAAGTAGCTAAGCTGCTCAGGCTGGGGTCAAATTTACAATTCTCAACTTCCCAGAGTGCTGGGATTACAGGCTTGCACTACCGCGCCTGTAAAGTACAGCTTTTAGAAGAGTGAATAAATCCCAGATAATTTACTAAATAATAATATGTTGTGGCCTAAGATGGAATTGCTTTGGCCATTACATCCTAATTTTTTTATATGTATCTTCTCCATTTCTACTAGCACAACTCCAGACAAATGATCATAATTTCCTGGCTGGTTCACTATGATAAATTTCTGGCTCAGTGCATTTCAACCTTAACTGAATGTTCCAATCCCCAGGGAGCATTAAAAAGCAAACAGATGAACATCAAAGGCAGAATTCACCTCCTGAGGCATTGATTTCATTGGTCCAGATAGTAAAGCTATGTATTAGGATGTTTAGAACCCATTAGGGATTCTGATGAGCTGACAACACTCAAACTCTGACAAGGTTGCAATATTTAAGATTCACCTGCAGCTTGCGGTGAAATTACTTATTTCATGGTAAACCCCAAAACAAATTACAGTATAGTTTATTAGATACAAAGTGAAACCCAGAAAACTACATTTTTAGCCAGTACAGAAGATAATTATGATGTAGGCATTTTCCAGCTCTCACCCTAAAAGCAACTGTTTTGGTATCCTGCCCCCATCTTTGCACACTAGGGCTAGAATGACAATTCGGATCCTTTAGTACATTCTCATTTAAACTCAAATGTAAACTCCTCCCCAAGTTAATTTGATTTCTGGTTCATCCCCACCCATCCTGCCTTTTATCCTGTGCCATCTTCCCTATATATCCTAAACCCTCCCTCCCTCCATCTGCTTATCCCTAATGTTATATTACACATCTTGTTGGCTCCTTGTGTCCCATGGGTGGTGGTCTTTCCCTCTCAGCATTGTAGCTCATTTGAGGCATCACTTTTGAATTTCTCCCTTCAGCTGGCAGATAATTCACACTAACAACAACTTGACAAGCCCCTTAGCAATTAAATTCTCTATGTCTAGGATAATATAGCAATATTTTCCTCTTGAAAAACATGAAGATTTTGTTGACATCACATATTTGCTTTAGAACAAATGGGATAAAATATACATTGGCAATGTTTGGGCCAAGGGGATAGGATTTAGAATTCATAGGGAGTTCCACACTTTAGCTTCATTTACATAATATTTTAAAACAGTAAATGTCAGCTGTCCTTTAACTATTCATCTTAGAAATGGCATTTGGTGCCAAAGGTGGACAAACACCCTGAAACAATAAATAAAGGCATATATGAATAAATGCATCCAGGCGAGAACAAATCACCTGTCTCTGAAAACCACAGAACAGGAGCTTAGACCTAATGAAGGGAACCGAGTGAGTAAATGTCAAATGGGAGATGAGCTTTCACTTGATATTTCCTCTCTCACAGCTAATCAAGCCCAGCTGTGACGTGAACTGGGGACACACAATGTACGCTCCAGGTGTCAGTCTCTGGCTGTACAGCAGGAGAATGTCAAGTTGCTGCGATTTTGACATAAACCTGGCACTAAAGCCAGCAGATTTTTACACTGCCTGTCTTCCCACGGACTGCACACTCCAACTTCATCTCCAAAGGGAATATATGGAGCTTCACCCTTCAATGAAAGACCACATCACAGCACATATTTCATAAAATATTCCACAGGCTTCTGAATGCCTAATGTATATTATGGAATTAATGGTATCTCACAATGGAAAGCTGTGAGAGAAACTGATATTCTGATACCACTATTACTTCCTTTTAATACATAATCACAAGAAGTATTATGATGTTAGAGAGTTGAAACTCTCTCCCTTCTACCCTACTAAGTTAATACTGGGGAAGTTTGATGGATCATTTGCTTATTCTTAGGAGCACATAAATCCTTTCTTATAAGTAGGACTTAGAGAACTTGAGAAAGACTGAGAGACTTCCCAAATTCACAAATGTAAGTTAATTGTAGGGCAAGAGATATTTCTCACGATGGTTATTGTCAAAATCAGTTTTTATTGCATCCACTCAAATGTAAATGATGTAAATTTCATGAGATGCATGGTAATTCTGACTCTAACATATCTGACTTTAATTTGTCTTTGGTAATATATACTTATATCTACAAGAGAACACCCATGCGTCGCTCTCTCCAATGCTTTCTATGGCACTCCCTTAATGCTTCCCATGTAGTGCATATGTACTATGGCTCTTGGGTTTATAGTTAGCTTCCTAGTTGCATAAATACATCACCTGAAATTTAACAATTATTACAATTTCTGGAGAAGGAACCTGAGTTCCAGTAGAGAAGCAAACTGTTTTCTAACAGATTTTTTTGTAATTAAAAAACACTATTTGCTTCTGATTCATTTTCAGAAGTGCATTAAGCACTTCTGGAGCTAGGTTCATCATAGTATAAGGCCCACACAATCAGACATCACAAATTTTTGTGAATTTAAACCAGAAAGTAGGACTGAATTTGTATATCTTACTCTGTGCTCTGTGGAATCAAAATTTAAATGTCTCTTTACACACGTTCCCCTCGCTTTATCCCTCCCTGCCATCGTGTCATCGTAATTCACTGCCAGCGTCTCTCCCTTGGGATACAGCCAGTTCCCTAATGGATCTCCTCAAACGATTCTCCTCTAGCCCATGTCCACAGGGATACTCTTCAACTTTCCAAGTGTGTGATGTTACCTCCCTTCTTAAAACCTTTCAAATATAAAATACTTCTTTAGTACGAGCTCGGAAGATCTGCAGACCTAACCTCCTCCACATCTCCTTCTGTACATTGTATCTTTTTCCCTTTCATCTCCTCACTCCAGGGACACCAACTATCATTCATCTACCCTGCAGTCACCCAGCTGTGTGTTTAAGAATATACATTTTTGGGGATGGAGATTTAGCTCAGGGGCTGGGGATTTAGCTCAGTGGCAAAGCGCCTGCCTGGCAAGCGCAAGGTCATGAGTTCGATTCCCAGTACCCGAGAAAAACCAAAAAAAAAAAAAAAAAAAAACCAAAAACAGAATATACATTTTGCCTTATTATTTTTCAGATCTCAGCAAAGTCATCAACCTATACAGAATTCAATGCCATTATTATATAAAGTCACAGGGTGACTATTCATAGCTTTGGTCAAAGCCGCCATTTTATTTTTCTTTATCAAATATTTGAGTATCTTCTCCTCAAATAGACTGCAAGCTCCATGAAGGGAGAGACTCTGGAACTTCATTTACAATGTATTCCTAGTACCTTGTTAGTAAATCTACTTAATACTGATGTCCCTGATGAATTAATTAATAAGCAACACAATCTTCACCAACTTTGGACTAAGCTTTAATGTCAGTGTCTTGGCCAACTAAACAACAGTCAAATCCTCACCCACAAAATGAGTAAGAGAGGCTAAAAAAGTAACAGGAAACCAAAAACTTACCACAGTTAACTTCATCAGTCCAATCACCGCAGTCATCCACGAAATCACACAGCTGAGCCTTTTCCACGCAGGCCTTGGTGTGCCCACACCAAAAATGGTCTGGTGACTCACAGCTCTCAGCAGGAAGAGGAAGAGCACAGTTTTCAAATCTGATGTCATCAATAGCTGAGACCCCATCATAAATGCCCAGACTGACTTTATCTAGCGACAAATAGAAGGGCTGAGTGAGGCGCCCTAGCTGGATGGCTGCCTCTGACCACTGTTTGCCTTGGTTGTACAACACCCTCCAGAGGACAGCTGAGTCATTGGAGTTTTCCACGTGGAGCTCTAGCTCAGCGGCTCCCACAGAGAAGCCGTAGTTATAAAACCTGGAGAGAGCGAACACAAGCAAGGAAACAATTTATGAGCCATTGCATTCTGCCAAAAGCCTGTTAATAATTAGTTATCAAACTGGCGCCTTTCTTTCTTGGCACCTTTCTTATAGTAATTGTGACTGCATGTTTGCAAGAGTTTATCTGCTAAGGTGGAACCCTTTCTTGAGGCGCTTCTATAGAGCAGTGTAATGTCTTTGCTAAATACCAGACTCATGGAGAGGAAGGGTTCCTTTCATCTTAAGGGAGAAAACAGGACTGGGCATATAGCTCAGTGGCATAAGTGCCTGCCTGGCAAGTGTAAGGTCCTGAGTTCGATTCCCAGTACCAAAAAAAGAGAGAGAGAGAGAAAACAACTAGTCAGGGGTAGGGTGGATGCCTATAATTCCAGCAGTCTGGGAGGCTGAGGTACACGGATTGCATGTTCAAACCCAGCTTGGGCAATTTAGCAACTTAGTGAGATCCTGTCTCAAAACCAAAAAAAATTTTAAAGGAGATGCACCTCATTGCAAAGACCTTGGGTTCAAGCCCCATTATGATCACTACCAATGATAATAAAATAGTAGTAATAGTAGCAGTAGTAGTAGTAATGATAATAATAATAATAAAAATAATAATAATAATATGCTCCTATATTAAGAGCAAATTGTTACTATAATACAACAACTATTTTAAAAGCAAAACCAAGGTTTAAAACTCAGAACAGCTAACAAATGAAGGAGCACGTCTTCAACCACTGGACTACTAGGGTAATTGATCGTTGCCTTTAATATTTACCAGAAATAAAGCATACAGCCAGGTCCTGTTTGGCTGAAAGTTGGACTCTGCAGTTTAGCAACTTGGAACAAGCTGCTGCTATTCTTCAGAATGAACATAAAATGCCCTATTAAGATGCAAAAACAAAACATTAGTAAACCTGAATTCTACAGTGAATCTGTCTCTTAAGCCTACACCGAGTATGTTTCATATCCAACTGAAACTAAAACTATACACCAATTTTAAAAAATCAGTAAGAGTGGCTGTGAGTCAAATGTGCTTTCACAAATACTGAACTATTATCTATATGTAGTTTTAAGTGATGCCAAAAGCAATCAGTGATCTCAGTTCATCCAGCCAAAAATGTATCTTCTGCTTTTCTGTTCCACTCATAAATATTTCATGCAGACAACATAAACATAATGGGTGATATTCAACTGGCCCACTGTTCGCAGTAATAGAATTGTTTCTCCTTCTCATTTGTCTGTGGTTTAAAGGAAGAGGAAATAGAAGTAAGTCTTGTTTGTTTCTTACCTGATACTGTGTTGTGAGTATGATCCGTAAGAGGGGCCTGATTCTCAAAGTCAACACCAAGGTCACTTGGGGAGCTCCGTATCCAGTCAAAATGGTCACCACTGACTGCTTCAAACCATCGACAGTTGCTGGCTTCAAAATCGCAATCGGAAACTGAAGAATAAAAATGTGGCTCTTAGGATCTCTCTTTACAGGGCTCCTACACTTTGAAAAGGTATTGCTGAAATGGAAATGATCCTAATATGCTTCTCTACATCAAAAAATACATTCAAGGAGACAAAAAAGTATCTGTGATCTGAAAAATGGACTTGTACTTTTCATACCAGAAATTGGGAAGGAAAAATTCTCAAATTAAGAAATTTAATTATTTTCCCAATTTTTTTTCAAAGAAACAGGATCATTCATCTGTTCTGCTTATAGAATTGTCAAGATTTTCTTACCTTATTCAGATAGCAATGTCAGTTTCCTTGCTATTATCAGTGGGCAGTTTTGTTACTACAGAGTATTTTACATTAAGCCAAAAGAAATCCAGCTATTTAAAAAATTAATACTTGAAAAATCTAAGATCCACTATATTTATATAATGTATATTCCTGCTTTTTGTAGAGCTTACTGTTTCACAAATAATTATGGCCATTTTAGTATAGGGAAGAAATTTTTGATTCAGTTTTTTCAGGCTAATATGGAGAAATAATATCAATAAAGAATCCTGGAAAAACATGAGAGGAAAAGAGGGACAAGAGAAAAGGAAAGAAATTGAAGTTATAAATAGCAGTAGTATAGATGTATAGGTAAATTATAAGCAGTAATTACCAAGTTCCTTGTGTAATAGACACTATACTAAATATTTATATAGGTACAACCTTTAAAACCACCTAAGGGATAGGTATTGTTTTACAAAAGAAGAAATGGTGGTAAGGTAAAGTTATTAATTTTACCAATGTTACATAGTTAAGAAGTTGTACTGTGGAACTGGAATTAAAATATTTGGACTCCTAGTTCGTATTCTCTGTAAGTCTTGACAATAACTGCTAATTGTCATTAGACTGCAAAAAGCATAAACCAAAAATGCATAATCTGAATTTGCTTGGCTTAGTGTATATGTTCAGTTGTTACTCTTATAAAAATGCAAAATGAGGTTGATTTCCACTAATGAGTATTACACTGGGATCCTTTATCTTTGGCTATTTTTATCCAAAAATGCAGTTTAGAAAAAAAGCCTGCATAGATATTTCCTTGTAAAATGAATTAGGAAGGCAGTGATATGTTTGAGAAGTGAAAGCATAAAGCAAATCACTAAATGGAATATTAAAATTTAAAACAGCATTGTAATCTAATGATAAATAATTTTAAATTTTGAAAATGCTACTACTAAATGAAAAGGAATGTGTGGTAGTAACAGTGCAAACATTTAATTTTTCAAAGTGTCTATGAAATATCTAATTGCAGGAATATATTTGCTTTCTATCAAATTTCCTGCTTCCTAATTTGACAAGCACAGTATTTCCAAATCTTATCAAGTCAATTCAGTGTATGAATATATCTAAATATAAATACTATTAAGATGCTCAATCTACTTGAATAACATGTTGCTATATTTCAGTACACAGACAAAATGAGAAATAATCAAGTTGAAGAAGTACTACTCAAAAGTGAAAAATAATAATGAACACTACAAATTAGAGAAAAAATACAAAGAATGTTTAAATTTTTGTGTTTTTAAAGTCTGCCTCTATTTCTAAGTGTATGTGATAAAAACAACATATAGCTAGATAATAGATGATAGATAGATAGATAGATAGACTGATTAATTCCAGGGATTTAAAAATATGTAGATACTATTTCAATCCCTGGGAAGCAAATCTTTGATTTCTATTTCAGACTATCTGGAAAACAGGATCTAGGAGTACTTGCTACACACATATAAAAACAAGTTGTTGTTACTGTTTAATATCTATCCCAGACAGCTACCTGAAAAGAGAACCTAATTATGTACTGTCTGGGGAGATACTGCTGCAGATATAATGAATATTCAAATGGTAGTAAGATTTTTAAAAACCACTGCAGTGACACTGTAGTTCTCTTGGATAAGGCCCTTCAAAGATAGTTTTTCCAGCACCATTTATTAAAGAGGTTATCATTCTTCCAGTGAGTTTGTTTGGCCCCTGTATCAAAGATTAGGTGACTGAGTGTGTTTGTGGTTGTGTCTGTGTCTTCCAGTCTGATCCACTGATCTTCTGGTCTGTTTTTTAGCCAGTACCATGTTGATTTTATTACAATAGCTTTGGAATATTACTCAGCTGTAAAGAAAGATAAACTCAAGGCTTTCATAGGTAAATGGTCACAACTAGAGACCATACTCATAAGTGAAATAAATCAGAGCCCCATGTGTAAGCACTGTATTGTCTCACTAGTGTAAGACCTGAAAGAGTGATTAAAAACTAGAAGGTATGATAGACATTTTGCAATGAAAGGAAAATGCTCAAAAGTAAAGGGCAACTGGGCTGTGGGAAAAGAGAAAGGAAAGAAGGGAAAAGTATATATTCGTGTATATACAGGATAGCTAACATAGTTGAACTACTGTCTTCTATTGCTTTACTGAAAGAAACAGTTAATGATTACTTGACTGATCAATATTGCGTGTCTCTATTTGTTTTCCTGAGAAACCACTCCGAAGATATCAATATGTAATACAACAAGCATTGTTAATTCCCTACCACTTTGTATGTAATTCTGTATTATTTGTATTGTTCTTTTGCTATTTTGTAAATGGTTGTCTGTTTGTTAATGTGTTTTCCTTCATTTATTTTTAAAATAAAATTTTAAAAAGGAAGAAATACAAAAAAAAAGATAGTTTTCCCCCCTGTATGCTTAAGTAACACTGCATTCCTATGTTTACTGCTGCCCTGTTCCCAATAGCCAAGAAATGGAAGCCAAGCACAGAAAGACAAATACCACATGAGCTCACTCCTATATGGAATCTGAAACAGTTGATCACACTGAAGTTTAGAGTGAACTGTTTCTTACTAGCCTCTAGAGAAAGTCAAAGGAAGAGTGGGGAGAGGTTGATCAGTGTGTAGTGATTTTGAACATTCCATCACAAAGAAATGATAAAATATTTGAGGACACAGAGATGCTTAACCTTATTCGTATATTTCACAATGTATACATTCATTAAACCTTCACAAGGTACCCATAACGATGTACAAATGTATGTCATTTAAAACTGTTCTAGGAAAGAGTAATTTGTAAACACAAAAATGGTGTTGAAATTTAAGTATACTTTGCTAATTCCTACATAATGAAATTTCCTCACGTTTTAAAATCTATTTTAATCATAAATATAATACTCAGTAAAATGAATCTACTAGCTAGCCAGTCATTGAACAGGCATGGAAATTACACACTATATATTCATTTTGAACTAAAAAATACAGCACTCTGGGTATGTTTTAATAATTGAGTCTCAAGGATTTTTCAGTTTCTGGGGCATTATTGACTTCCCCAGTCATCACCTTCAGAAGCATCATCCTTTGCAGTCACATTTATGCAGAGTTTGGTATCCATCAAGCATCATGCTAGAAGCTCTTATATTCACAGCAGAATTTTGTTGACAGAGGGTTTCTGACAGTTACACCTGTCTGTCCTGTGGCTATGGGTGGAAAAGCTAATGACTCTACAGCCACTTTTGCTTATCATAAGAAAAATCATTTGACTAGGCTATCTTAATTATATAAATATAATTATATGAGTTGCCCTGGGAGAAAAGGGCATTAGGAAATATTTGCTGGCCTGAGAAGGTCCATTACTGTCATCAGCACTGCCTTTCAGTGAAGCAGAAACGAAATTGCAGAGCAGGCAAAAACCAAAAAAAAAAAAAAAAAAAAAAAAGGGCTGGGGATTTAGCTCAGTGGCAAAGTGCCTGCCTGGCAAGCGCAAGGTCGTGAGTTCGGTTCCCGGTACCGGAGAAAAACCAAAAAAAACAAAAAAAAACAGAGCAGGCAAGAACATTTATGATGCAAGAATCAAGAATTAGAACCCGTCTCACTTCTCATAGTGCACTTTGTAACGAGTAAGCACAAAGTGTGTAAAAGAGAAGTCTCGGTTGATGATATGGGCCTCACACAAAGATTTGAACATTCATAGGAGGAAATAGGTCCTGACATGTCAAGTGGTTGAATGTCAAACTCCCTCTGGGCCTAGCCACACAGGCAAGATACCTGTCCTGAATTTAAAAGAGGGATCTGTATTGGACGGTGAGACAAAATACTTGACAATTACAACTTAAAACAAAAAAGGACTATTTGAGCCATGGTTTTATAGGCTTTAGTCTGTGGTCAGTTGGCTCCAAGGCAGACACATCATGGCAAAAGGGCACGGTCGAGTAAAGACTTTAGTTCACAGTCCTGGCATCCAGAAAGCAGAGAAGGGAACAGCACGGGAGAGACAGGGACAAGGAACCAGATCAAGTACCCATGTCATGTTTCCATGAACACCCAGACACACCCAGAAGTGAGCTTTCCTAACCCACTAAATGGCTCATAAAGCAATCAAGCTGACAACCCTGTTTAGTCACAGGGCTAATCTTATGAGTGGTAATTACCCAGAAAATACCCAGAGTCCAACCAGTAACCACCACTGTGGCTTAGAGAGATTTGAGTCGTTAAGGACATCACTGCAGCATGGGAAACATCTATTGATATATGTATTAATGATTCAGTCTTCAGGAAATATCTTGGAAAATATTACAATGTCTGTTTTATATACGAGAAATGCCAAATTTGAAATATGGATAATGTGTAATCTTTCACAACTCAGTAATACTGATACAATTCCAACCCAAACCTGCTATAAAAACCTACAATTTAAACATTTGCTGCTTCTGTTAGTTAAGTAGATAATCACAAATATAAGAACTACTATGTGCCAGGCACCCTGCTATATATATTATTTTTTATTGTTTATTTTAAAGAAAAAAGAACAAAAACATAATAACAAACACACATACATTTACAAAATAACACAAAAACAATACAAGCAATACTGAATTTCAGA